ATAACAACAAGAACAACATCAAGCCTTTATCTGATTATGTGGGGTCGGCTACATGTATTGTTTTCCTCCATTGTGTCCTGTTAAGAGTCAAACTGTCATTTAAATCTAATAAAGTGGGGCCATTTCTAATATTTTTTGACCAAGTCTTTTTAGGATTGCCTCTACCTTTCGTAATATAAGCCAAATCTATTACATCTACTCTCCTAATCGGGTCATTGGAAGGTCGTTGTTTTATGTGACCAAACCATTTAAGATGACTCCCTCTAATCTTATCTTCCACTGGAGTTACTCCAACCATTTCACATATATGCTCATTTTGTATCCTGTCTCTAAGAGTGAAGCCACTCATCCACCTGAGCATCCTCATCTTTGCAACATAACTTAATATTATGCTTCACTTTAAATGGCCAACATTCTACATCATAAAGCATTGCAGGTCTAACCACCATCTTATAGAGTTTTCCCTTAAGTTTTAGTGGGACTTTCCGATCGCACAACAAGTCCGATGCATTCCTCCATTTCAATCATCCAACATGAATTCTACTAATAATATCCCCATCTATTTCATGATCACTCCGAACAATAGACCCAAGATATCTAAAACATGTCCTCTTGTTAATTGACTTTATTACCAAAATCACAATCCTCCCATAGGATCTATTACTTTTGAAATTACACTCCGTATATTCGATTTTAGATTTTCTCATACAAAAACCTTTAGACTCTAAGTTTGACCTCCATAATTCATGTTTGCCTTTAACTCCCTCTCTAGTCTTATCTACAAGAAGAATATTATCAGAAAAAAGCATACACCATGATATAACATGATGGGGACATCGATAAGAGGTTTCGACGTGTCTATCAGAGGCGATACAGAAGATCGATGGCCATGATGGAGAATATTTACTATTGATGCATTTTATGTATTAGTTATTTTATTTTCAGTCTTTTTTCCGTTTTTTACCCTTATGAGTAGTTAGCCACTATTGTTTCCCAAGGGGCATTCTAGTCTTTTATTTTCTTTGTCATTTTGAGGCCTATATATGTGGCCATTTCTTATGTAATGGGGATGTTTTGATAAATGAAATTCTGAAGTTCTCTTTGTTTTCTCCAATGTTGAGTGCTTGAGTGAAGATGAAAGCCTAGGAGAGGCGATTGCAATACCCTTCAGCCTTTGGAAGAGTCCGAGGCTCACAGCTCCACCCTCGCTCCCCCCTCTTTTCCCCTCCAACTCTCTCCCTTCCCCACATCCCGCCGGCTCCCTACTCTCACCGCCGCCCACCCCTCCTGTTCTCCTCAAATCCCCCACTACCCGATAACCACCCCAACCCACCGTCCACTCCAGCCCCTCCCGCCGCCCCTTGGCCTCCACCCGAGCCTCACCACCACGCCACCTCCTCCTCACCATACCGCCGGCCTTACCACCAACCATGAATCCCCATTGATTGTATTGATTACTTTCCTAATTTAGGTAATAAAATTTGGAGGGATTTCAAAATTCAAATTCAAAATTGATTTGGATTAAATTCTCTCCTAAATTTACTATCCTAATTAGGCAACCAATAAAGCCTTACAAATCTGAAATTAATTTCAGATTTCCCACTCTAATTTATTTAATTACTTGGGCCCACAATCCAAGTAATTAAATCTCCCTAAATTCCTCCCTATAGGGCCGGCCACCCTCTCTCTCTCTCCAATCTCATTAATTGGAATTTGGTATCCAATCAAGGATCCAATTAATTAAATCACTTCCCCAATTCCCTCCCCCATCTCCATTTATTTCAAATTTCAAATTTGAAACTCTCTCAGCCTAATTTAATTCAAAAATCTGAACCTAATTTCAGATTTTGAAATTAAATCACTCCGAACCCTCACCCGAACCGCCTGGCCCTTTCTCTCTCTACTTTGGCCGCCCCTCTTCTTGCTCCCTCCCTTGGGAAGTTTTGAAGCAAAGAGAAGAAGACGACGCCCTCTTCAATGTCGAATGGCCGATCCCGAGGTTGATCACGGTTTCGCTTACAACGATCGTGGGGAGATTGACATTCTTCTCTCTGCTTTCTATGACCCCGATTGGAATACGACGAGACAGTGGAAAGATATGTCAAGCGCATCCTCTATTGCTTAGCACATACGATCGATCCTCAAAAGCATAAGAAGCCTTGACTTCTCGTTGGGAGATCTACCCCTTCTTCGTCCGTGGCTACCTCTCCATCGACGAAGAACTTTGGTACTATCTTCCTAGTGGCAATTTCTCTCATCGTATGCTTCATCTTCAACCGCTAAGCCTAAGAGTGATTGAGTGAGAATGGTAACCCATCATGAACTTTCTAAACATCAACCGTGGGATTTTATTACAACATATTTATTTTTACTGTGATAATTTCAGATCTATCTTAATTTGTTCTAAACTTCTAGTCTTGTAATTGCTTACCATAATAAATTGACGATTGAGAGCTCTTTAATCTCGCCTTACGAAACATTGTTCTTAAATAGCAAGTATCGTGTATCTTTTAATATTTCTATGCAATTCTTGTTTGTCTCACATCATATTTGGTATCAGAGCATGTTAGGCATGCATGACATGTGCTAGAAAAACATCCTAAGGTCTAGCCAAGCAACAACAACAACAACAACAACAACATCAAGCCTTTATCCCACTACGTGGGGTCGGCTACATGAATCCTTTTTCTCCATTGTGTCCTATTAAAAGTCAAATTCTCGTTTAAATCTAATAAAGAAAGGTCATTCCTAATATTTTCTAACCAAGTCTTTTTAGGTCTACCCCTACCTTTCTTAACATAAGTCAAATCTAATACCTCTACTCTCCTAACCGGGTCATCGCAAGGCCGCCGTTTTATGTGACCAAACCATCTAAGGCGACTTTCTCTAATCTTATCTTCTACTGGAGCTACTCCAACCTTTTCACGTATATGCTCATTTCGTATCCTATCTCTAAGGGTAAAGCCACTCATCCACCTGAGCATCCTCATCTCTGCCACACTTAACTTAGTATTATGCTTCTCTTTTAAAGGCCAACATTCGGCACCATAAAGCATTGCAGGCCTCACTACCATCTAAGGTCTAGCCAAGCATTAGTCCTAAAAATTTGCATGCATATCATCGCCTAGATAATTTTATTTCACTGTTTTCGTTGCTGCCCATGGATTTCCTGCATGCATTTAGGGGAGTTAAGTCAATCTATACAGTGTCTTAGTGCTGCCATCAAACCCATAACTCTTCTAAGTGCTTAGGATAACTACACCCTTAGTGTAGGCTGCTGTCCTTACTGTTCCAGCCACATTTAGCTGTCATTTTGTCAACTTAAAGTCATGCCTAGGTGTTGTCCTCACCCTAGTAGTATCCCTATAACACTTGGGCAATTCTCTTGGAACTTTTACCATATGTCTTCTCTAAATCAATACATATCATATGCAGATCCTTATTCTCTTTATACTTCTCCAACAAACCTCTTAATAAATGTATAGTTTCCATAGTAGACCTACTTGACGTGAATCCAAATTGATTTTGAGAAATATTAATATCACGTCGTAACCTATGCTCCATAACTCTCTCCTATAGTTTTAAAGTATGACATATTAACTTAATTTATCTATAATTCACAATGTTGTGCATCACCTTTATTTTTAAAAATAGGAATCAACACACTTATTTTTCACTCATATGATATATTTTTTGTCGTCAAAATAACACTAAAAAATTTAGTAAGCCAAGAAATTTCTTCATCTTCTAAATTTTTTCACATCTCTATTGGAATATCATCAGGTCCATTTGCTTTTCCACGCTTTATTTTTTTTAAAGCCTCTCTAACTTTAATTTTTCCAATACAACAACAACAACAACATCAAGCCTTTATCCCACTACGTGGGGTCGGCTACATGAATCCTTTTTCTCCTTAAAGGATTCTTGTCATTAATTTTTCCAATACGTCGATAAAATTAAAAAATCTTTATTTTCATTTAGGGTGTTAAGGTCACTAAAGTTAATCGTATTCTCACAATCTTCATTGAAAAGCATAGCAAAATATCTCATCTACCTTTATTGAATTTTCTCTTCTAATAAAAGTATTTTTTGCATTCACTTGAACTAAATCCTTACTACTATTTCTTTTTTTTTGCTAAGTTATACATATATCTTTCGTACTTTTTAGTATCTGATCTATTATATAAATCATTAAAAGCTAAAATCTCCTTAAATAAAACTCTTTCTTCAAGTGGTATCTTTTATATTAATTTTTCCAAGTCATTCCAAAATTTTAATTTTAGACATATATCTAAACCAAAAATAGAAGATGAATTCCACATACTTCAAAATTTTACTCTTCATTTTTTTTACTTTAAACCAAGAAACTCAATATTTCAAAACCCTTGCATTTGGAATAGTTTACATCTATTTTACTTGAAACAAAGCAACCCCTATATTAAAAATAGGGAGAGTACAAAATTTGATCTTGTGTGTTTTTTTGCGCTTTTCCGTGTATTGTGATTTGGAATGATTTTTCATTCAATTTATGCCATTTCAAAGAGGCAATGCTATGCATGTATCTATTAAGCTAAATATACAGCTATTTCTTTACGCGCGCCATTTAAGGATATTATTTATTAGACATCTATACCAGCAACGGACATTCTGTAGACTGTTATCATTTATGTTTTAGGCTATTTACCTTTAAAAAATCTTGTTCAGGAAGCCTCCTAAAGCTTTAGCATGGGCAGTTGTCCTATAAGCCATTCCCTGTTTTTATTTTTTTTCATATGTTTTAATAAACCCTTAGTGATCCAGTTATCTAGCTTATGCAGTTTTAGTATCTGAATGCTAAACATGTTTGTTTAACATATCCACTTGGCAACTATAACATATTAGTTCTCATAATTTTAAAGAAATTAAGATGAGCAAAATAATATTCGCTAATTGTATTTTGCTTTATCAAAATTAACTTGGACATAATACACATGATCTGCTTTGGCTTTTTCAATCTACAGAGATGCCTGCAGATCGATCTTAACATTCTTATCTGACATATTGGATCTCGGAAATAGCTCCATTGGACAGAAGTTCCGGCCTATTATCGATAATGTGATACTTCCTCGAGGCGCCACTCTCACTAGAATCCTCATCGCCTCCTTGACTGGGGCACTTCCTTCTTCAAGAATTGAGGAGGTATTGAACCTGAACTCCATTATTGACATTAGCACCACCAGCTCAACTTACTAATACCACCTTCATTTGCAGGTATCTTATGTTCTACTGGCCTTGACCGCCTCATATGGAACCAAAGTAGTAGAATGGGGTAAAGGAATTATTTCACTGATACCTTCAACAGCTCTAACTGAGGTCGAATGCGCAAGGTTCGTTAAATCTCTAGCAGATGCGGCATCCGGTTCAAATAGCACTTTTACGAATATTCTCGAAGAACTTTCCGATGTCTGTCGGCGCAACAAGACTGTTCAGGACATTGTGCAGGGAGCTCTCAGGCCTCTAGAGTTGCACTTTACTGCTATATCTTGATTCCATAGAAGATATTCGAATTTGTATGAGTTTTTTTTGTGCTTGGTCTCACTGAATATATTCTGCTGAGGATTGGGAGTAACAAACAGATATTGAAGAGCTCCTGAAGAAGACCCAATGCCATCTGCCCTTTGGTCCTTGTTTTTTTCTTCGAAGAAAAGAGTGGATTTGCATATGGGTTGTAATTTTTTTTTTTTTTTCTCTTTTGATGTAAATGTATTAGTTATTGCAGTCTGAACGTCTTGTTTGAAAAACAAAAATATTTTGGTAATTTTCCTGTCCTCCTGTGCTGGTAAGCTCAAGGAGATCGAGTGTTCACTATATTGTATTTAATATTATTATAGAGATTTTTTATTTTTTATGTATCGTTTTGACCAATTTGGAATTTGTTAGTGTTCTTGCATGGTGGATATTATTTTTGATCTGTTGGCAAGTGATTGATGATGAGAAGTTACTGTATGGTGAGAGGATTTTGGTGTTGCAGTTTTTAGTTATTTGTTTTCTATAGTTTAACATTGATAAGCCTGCAGCTATAGAACTCATTTGATTGTAATTGTCTGTAAAACAACATTGACAACAATCTTCTGGACTGGTTTCTAGCTTTGTTGATCTGAAATCTGGTCAGTTGTTGTATTTGCCTTAATTTTTTTATGCTTGTAAATGTTTTATCACGCCAGGCTCCTTTAATACAAAATTTCTTGAAAGCATCAAGAAAGCCACCCCAAATGAAGCTTAAATCGACAAATCCATTTCTCATTGCATAGGACATCATGTAAGTGTCCAGCAAAAATTTATTTTGTGCGGAAGCGGAACCTGTCTGGATATCTAAGCCCGCGGCTCGGTATCCCTCATTACTGCGGTCCGAGTATCCATACCGTTCAGTATTGAGGCTCGATATTGCTAATGTGGCTTATTCTGGATGGTATTTGGATGTAGAGCTTCGTTTGGCGTTCGCACGTAGTAACCTCGCAGAGGGTCTGTTGGCCATGATTAAGTCAGTTTATTGCCTGAAATTCACATGCAAATCTGTAATTATCTTAAGAGGGCTCTTTGAAACAAACCATAGCAAATTCTCTTTTGATGGGCCTTCAATTCTTCTTAATACCAACAATTTAAATAAAATAATTTAGGGTAATGAATCGGGCTAGTGATTCAAACCTTCATTGTTATTCTGATTTTTTATTAAAAAAAAATAAAAAAAAAAATATCACTACTACATAAAAATTAAGGATTTGTTTGGACAATTCTCTTTTGTTTTTAAATAATTTTTTTTTGAATTAGAAATATTTATATTAAAAAATCATTTTAAAAAGGTTTAGTGTTGGTTATAATTGGTGTAGATCATGAATTATACATGCATTTCTATGTTAAATGGTGTGGCTTTAAGTTCGTTCAGTAAAAACAATTTGAGGAGCTGCCCCAAAAACATTGCAAATCAGATAAATCAGTTGCATTTTATTTCTCTCTGTATGCTTATGATTCAAGCCTTCCAAGAAGAGCAGAAAATGGGTTTTCATCAAGTTTTACTTCTCCAATCACTATAAAAAAATTGAAAATAAAAACATTAATCTTATTATTCAAATGCTGATTAAACGACCAACATCAAATTCCCATGTAAACAAAAACACCTTTTAAAATATAATAAAACTAAACTGAAAATATTCATGAAAAATATTAATAATCTAACAAAATTCAAGTATTTTCAAATACATTAATTACAAATAAAATCAAAAAAATTTAATTTCAACATTGAAACCATACAAACTAATGAAACAATCATCATCAAATGCTCACCATGATTATGTTCAGCAGCTGTTCTCATGCAGGACTAGTTAACATCATTTACATATCTATGTATATGTGCAGTACCACCACCATATAAACAGAAAATAAAAGCTTCGTTTGGGATGGCTTTCTTACTGCTTCTTAAAGTAATTTTTTAGTAAAAAATTAATTAATTTATACTAGAAAGCTGCTTTAAAAAGCACCAAAAAAGCCGTCCCAAACGAAACTAAAGTAGTGTAATATAATCTGCATGCTCCTAATCAAACTGTATAGAGCTTCACAATCTGCTCAATCTTCGTCCGACAAACCGGGCACTCTCCTTTCTCTGCTTTGATCTCTTTCAGACATGACATGCATCCAGCCATATGACCGCATGGTACGCATGCGCCCTCAATCAGCGCATCCAAGCAGATCACACAAAAGGAAGGTGAACTGTTAGTTCCTCTGTCTTCTCTAGTTTCAGTCTTAACAAGCATGCTTTCAGCATCAATGGAGCTCAAATCTATTGATGGGTACTGAATGGAACCTGTATAAAACATGTCTTCTGAAAATGGTGGAGCAGATGGAACTGATTCCAGAGAGCTGTGGGAGGCACATCGGGTTTTAGTTTGTCTTGTGTGAATCTGCTGCGAGATTGCCTTTGGTGTGAAATTTGGCTGTGTAGATTTAGGAGATTCAATTGTGCCAACTTCTGCATGTTGTCGGCCATGATGAAGCAGGACTCCCTCGTTTATAGCTGTTTGAATGGAGGCATTGATGGCCATGGTTAGTTCAGTGTCTTCTGGACAATTTGTGTTTGTTGCCTGCAATTTGTTAGGTGGTAATGGAGGAGCAGCTGGTGGTGGTGAAACAAAATTGGTGTGCTGCAAATGAGAGAACTGCCATGAAAATGTAGAGAGTTGGTTAGTATTATCTGTATGTATTGACATATCTAAAACATAGAAAAGGATTTGGGGGGTAACATAAACTTATTGCAAAAAACTATACATTATGTAAGTCAAGCAGCCTGAATTTTGCCACTGGGAAATCTCATCATCATCTATCATAATAGTTATCACCATATTCATATCCCAAGTATTTGGTTGGTTTGCCTTCATAAATTCTTCTCCTCCCTTCATTCATATTTGTGCTACAGCTGGTGTTGAATCTATTTTGCACTGGTATTTTTGTACTACGTTTAACCATTTTATCATTTATCAACTCATTTTTCATCCGGTGATATGCCACTAAATAATTGTTGCACATCATTGACAAGCAAGGGCGAAATTAGCCTTAATTCTCTGGGGGCAAGTGACAAATTTATAAAAAAGTAAAAATATATATAATTGTGCAAAAATAATTTATTTTACTTTTCACATACTTGTTTGTTAATATTAGAAACGTTCAACATAATTGGATGAAAATAGCGGGAGGCCAAGAGGCTTTCCGATTTTTGGAGGGGCAAATTGCTTGAAAAAAAAGTTGGTTGTGGGCGAAAAATAAAATTCAGAGGGGCTAATTACAAATAGCCCTTACTATGTTAAGAGTTTTAATTTTTTAGGAGGTGCAATTGCTCCCCTCACCACTACACAGTTACACCCCTGTTGACAAGGCATTTCAGCTAATTTTGTCCCATAAACTATACACTTTACAATCTATATGATTATCTCATCAAATACTGAAAATTTCAAGGACATGAACCACCTTGCTCCACAAATGTTTAGATGGTACCATTCAACCTACATGGGACAAGGGCCATGGTATCTATAAGAAATAAAACAACATCCCACTTTCACATTTATTCTGCTAGAGATTAAGCAACTTTAGAAAACTTTACTATTGACTATCTTGACTGTCCATCCATTAAAAAGATCAACATCCTCACCGAATCCTTCAATAGAAATTGGGATACAAAAGAGTAATAAATGCATGAGACTCCCACCAATGGGAAATTTCAGTTAGGTTTATTTAAGCAGCCTTACCCCTAATATGCAGGTAAACTGTTTTAGCGGTTCAAACTATAACCTGCAACTCATAAGGAAAACAATCTACCATTGCTTCCAAGCTTGCCCTCTCTTTGAAATAACTAAGCTATGATTACTACAAGAACAACATGATATAATCTGTTGCTTCCATAAATTCCTGTGATTTTACATACTTATATTATAAATTCCTGTAATTTTATGCAAACATATCTTAGTACTTGAACTCTTTCAATAAAATTATGTATTCAATGTAGTTACCTGGTATATCCCTCTGCAAGCATTGTAGAATGACAGCATCTGCTGTTTGTCGCCTTCAGTTGCAGATAAAAACTTGGACCTGCTTTCTATGTCGAGGGAATAAAAGAAAAAGTCAATTAATATAAATATATGAAACTAATGTTAAGAATGAACCTTCAATTAGGAAAATAAAATAAGATCCTACTTGAGCCTTTGCTAGATTTAATAAGCCATGGCAATTTGGAAAAGTCACTGTAAAATATTTGATACTACAACAGTTTAACTCACAAGCTTACTTTTATTAGTATCTTGAACAATCAATACAGGATCCGGTTGATTGAAGTTTGGCTGCTCTATCTGAGCTTTCCAAAGTGCTACTACAGTTCGAGGATGAGAAACCTGTTCATTAAAAGATTTGATGATGAAAATGAGCAGATTGATAGATTATATACTCCACAGGGCATGGGAAATAAAATACTGCTGGTTCTAACGTACATAAAGAGTTCATTACAATGAATAAATTTAAGTTAATCAAGCAGAAATATTTACAAAGCGTTTGCTATATATTTTGCAACATGGATTCATAATCATTTACAGTTTGACTATTTTGTGTAAATATAAATAAAAATTTAATGTTTTGCGGCCCTTAAACTAGATTAGTTTCAAGGGAAAGGTTCATTTATCAAAGAAAAGCAGAAAAGACACAAAAAAAGGAAATGTGACAGACTGGTTTGAAGAATTATTAACTAATTTGATATAGATTACTCAGAAAATAATCATTTTTCACCCATTTAGATTTGAGTGTTATGGACTTTAAATATTTGACCAAAACCATTTGCTATAATTAGCCATCATTTAAACTAGCAACCAAGGGCGAAGCCAGGATTTTTCTTTAATGGGGACAATAAAATATCAATTTTAAAAATACCCTAATTTTTAGTAAAATTTGTTATAGATAAGGTGCAACAAATGTAATTTGCTATACCCGCACAACACATTAGTTGGCGATTTTTTTTTTAAATGTTGCAGTAAGAAAAAAATTTTGCAGTTCACAAACTCCAAAAATAAGTAATTTAATTAGTTTAATTTCAAGTAGAAAAAAATAACAATAATAAATAACGGGTTGGAGGGTTGTTTCGGGTCGGGTTAGGGTTTGGGTTCCCGACCCTTTTTCCTATCTATGTCGGGTTAGGGTCAGGTCATGGATGACAAGTCATTTTTGGATTAGACCCGAACCCGACTCGAAAACCCATTTTGACACTCATGGGCAACACAATGTATACGTGCATACACAGACATGTACTTGCATATTTATATACGAATACACACTAATCTTAAATTGAGGGAGGCCATGATGACTATTAAGAATAAGGAACCTAATAATTACATGGTCAATACTTCAAGAATGAAGATACAATTTACACTATATAATTCATCTAAGCAAGATGAAAAAGAAACTAGAAAAACACAAAGTACTTCAATATACCTGTAGATTAGGATATATAGCCAGCTCAAATTTCTGAGGATTCATAGGATTACGAGAATTGCAAGGTAAAACAACAGCCCAACTGTCAAATGAATGACAATTTATATAAAAATGACATATATTTGCTGATTGTTGCAGAAGAATAGGGAATACTAGCGGAGTAGAAGATAAAAAAATAAAAAAGAACGCACATTTTTTTTGATACCAGTTGTGGCACAAATGCTTCCAATATGCTTGGCCCATGAATCTCCCTTATCCAACCAGAAAATAAACATATACGTTTCTGCGCTAAAAGAATTGCTATCAGCTGACAAGGCCTCATCAAAATTTTTTCAGTAAGCACAATAGGAACACATCTTGTGCCATTTCAAATTTAAATACAAGGCAAGAAACAGACCTCAATGGCACGAACAACCTTGGAATGCCCTCTTGCTCTAGCTACATCAAGAGGGGTCTTGCTATCATCATTCATCAATAATGGATTTGCTAAAAAAACAAATAAAACAAGTATTATTTATATTTTACATTTGATGGAGTTTGAAGTAAGTCATTGGAAAGAAGACAAGTGCTAAAAGAAGATATCGATCAAACATGGCTTGAGCGGTATTTACCTCCATTAGAAAGAAGTAGGTTAATAGTTTTCTCGAGGCCTTTTCTTGCTGCATGATGTAAAGGAGTTCCAGCATGACTCCCTGAAATAACAAATAAAGAAGCATTAGACCTTGTATTATCTAGATTCTGTTATGAACTACTCAAAGGGCACCAAATTTCAATTGGTATGATGTATGAGTTAGCTATAGTTTGGGAAATTTTTTATATAAGCCTCTATTGTTTGGCTACTTCAAGAAGGACAACATTTATCAACTTCTGTAAACTACTCCAATTTTTTTTTTTTTTTTGTAAAAAATTATGCTTAAAGATCTAAAAAAACTAGCAAAATTTTTCAATAAATCCTTAAATGTTTTTTTGGCTGAATTTCCTCTTAAAATCTGATACTTCTCTCGATAAATTACTTTGGTTTGATTAAAGCCTGTAACTCATCCAAACTTGTAAAGAAATACCAGATCGATAAAACTTAGCTAAAATTATCATGATTTTCTGCAATCCTAGTAAATTTAGTAGGGTTGATACAAGCCTAGTAGTCCACAAACCCAGCAAGATTACCCTGCTTTGGGCTAACCATAGTAAATTTACTAGAGTTTGCTGAATGACTTACATACAACTACTACAAAGTTACTAGTACAAGTTCTTATAGTAAATTTACCGCTATAAGAACTTGCATACAAACTTCTCAAAACTGATTTATGAAGAAGACCAAATTTTGTATACAAATTTTGAAAATTTTATGCAACCCAGGTAAATTTATGATGGATCAAAAATCATTAAAGTCATTTAGCACCAATGTTCATACAGAAGTTCAAAATTGATAACTAGCTTAGAAAAACTGAAAAAGTTGTCTTTTTTCACAAATGAACCAAACTAAAAGGACTTGTATATATAAGTTTCTCAAAATTCTATATTTGAGCAACAGAAACTTGTCAGAAATATCAAATATCTATCCCATCAGGCCATAATCCAACAATCTTACAATCATAACAAAAAAAAAGAAAAAAATCAGAAAGCGAGGAGAAACTCAAACCTCTTACCAGGGCGATAAGCATTCACATTCGCACCCATTTCAATCAGAACTTTGGCAGCTTGGAGGAGATCAGAACGCGTGCATGCAAGAATCAGTGGAGACTTTCCTTCCTTGTCAACCCACTGCAAAAACCACAAACAACTCGAGCACCGCTTTTTAGATAAAATAAACGAAATCTCCCAACTTCAAACCCACAAAAAGAAGAAGTTCGAATTTTTCCCACTCGCCTCAAGTCCAGCTCCACCGTAGCGAAGGGTTTTGATGCCTTCGACGTTCCCTTGATTCACCTTCTGGTAGAGCAACTCTTCTTTGGATTGTTTCGCCCCCATCAAATCCTCAAAGCCCCAAAAACTTCGAGCAGAGATAGAGGATAAGAGGAAGAGGCAGCAGCAGCTGATGACAGAGTCGATGTCCCTTGTTCTAAACTTGGAACTAAACGAAACAATGAATAAATCCTCTTCCCCGATTCTTCAGCCAGTGGGGAAGAAAACGAGGAATGGGAAGATAAATTAGGATCGAAATTGCGACTTGCGAGGTTACCTTCGGATCGAAGGAAGTTTCGTTGATCAATTCCACGCTGAAAATTGAATGGGAGAAGAGAGCAGGTGAACTGCGAGCTGAATTTTCCATTTTGGAAGTGAAGCGTACGTTAGGCATCCATTTTGTAAAAGGGCAATTTTTAAAACTATGTCTTAATCCTAATCAAGCGATTAGCAAACATTTTAAAAAAATTTAGAACTGGACAAAGTCGTCCGTTTAACCAGCGACTTACATACAGGCGACTTACGTCAAAAGCATAATTCACTTTATTCCCTCCCGATTCTCCGGTTCATGCCCTAAATTTGCGAACGGAGAGCAGCCGACGGGAAAGGGAGTTCGCAAACGAAGAGCAGAGCCGACGGGTAAGCTTCTTTGTAATTTATTTTATTTTATTATCATTATAATTATTTATTTAAATTGCATTCCTTTAGTAGCCTTCTTCGTTAGAGTGTATTATGTTGAAAGTTTATGTGTGATTTAGTGCTAAGACTTAAGATTTGTGTGTGAGAATTGTTTTTTCATTGCGAAAGATTGAAGATAACTTTGATTTGTGGATAATACTTTGTTGTTGCTACGATTTGTTTGGGTAAATGTAGAATGATATTATTTTGAGGGATATAATGTTTAGGTAGATTTGTTTGGGTAAATATATTTTTGTAATGATTAGAGTCTTAGGAAGTTTTTTTTTATTTTTTTGCTATGTAAATGCTATTATATTTTGTAAAGATATGTTACAAAGTTTTTTAAAATAAAATTTTGTATAGGATAGCATTATTGATACGTAGTATTCCATAATATCTGAATGGGGATCATCGTTTGTTCTTATGTATGGTGGACAGTTTTCTTTAGATGATAGATATTCACCAACATATATTGGGGGGAGGAATCAGCCCTTGCAAGTGTCTGTTAAGATGAACTTAGCGCAACTAAAGATTATGATTCTGAAAACCCTTAAATATGATACGTCGAAGTTTGTCGTCTGTTCTTAGGAAATGAGTTCATAGCTTCGTCTGTCGAGGATGATGAGGTATGTTAAATGGTGTTAGCGCATGCAATTGGGCAGATGCTTCTACTTTATGTAGAGGTCAAAGATATTGTTGCACAATATTTAGTTGTCGAGCAAATAACATCTCAAGTGTATGAAACATATAATTTTGACGGGGTGACAGAAGGTGGTTCGACCAATCCAAGTCTCGTGCTACAATGTCCTGAGTAAGTTTCTCGTTTATGAATTTTTAGTGTGTATTACATAAACTATGATTGTCTGAGAAATTTCTTCTTGTTAACAAAATATGGTTTATGTGATGGAGTGAACGGCAAATAAGTTTTTGTCCTGACATTCCAGGAACTTCCGAGGGATCATCAGTCAATATTGATGATGGTTACGAAATAATGAGTGGTGGATCGAGCAATTTAGGTCCTGATGATGGTGATGATGACGCACAATATCATTTCGATGAAATGAATGTTGATATGAATCAAGAGATCCATATCATGGTTCAACATTATTGTTACATGAATGTCGGCACTGCAGAAGGTGTAACTGTAAACATTGAGTTTGTGAAGGCATATGCAACAACTCGTGAGTGGGATGAGGATGTAGCAAATGATAGGGAATATGTTGGTAACCAAGTTAAGGAAGAATTTTCAATTCTAATAGAGCTGATAGAGGGTATGTGTTTTAATAAGAAAGATGATCTTCAGCTCGCATTACAGGATTGGTCGATTATAAATAATGTAAAGTATGTCGTTGTAGCTTCAGACAGATATAAATTCACTGTGGTTTGTGTTCAGAGTGGCAGATCATGCATGTCATGTATATGGCATTTTCATGCAGGGGTTAACAAACAGTTAGGAGGCATATGGAAAATATCTTCCATGAAGAACCAACATACATGCTCAACTCCGATTCTAACAACATGACATAGAAAATATAATTCTCAATTTATAAGCTACTTCATATTGCCCAGCATTAGAAGGCATATGGATCTCAAGTCACGAGAGATTATAGGCCAAATTGAAGCAAAGTTTAAAATTAAAGTTTCTTATATGAAGCTTGGGATGCCAGATGGAAAGCTATGAAAATTGTGTTTGGTAGTTGGGAGGAGTCTTATAGAACCATAAATTTGTTCATGGACGCTGTTGTATTTTCAATACCTGAAACTATTTATAAGATACAAATGTCTGAGAATCATAGAATTGGGAGATTATTTTTCTCGTTTGGGCCTTCGATAAATGGTTGGAGCTACTATCACCATATTTTTTGCCTTAACGACACATTCTTATTAGGCAAATATCGAGGCACTTTACTTACCGCTGTGGGAATTAATGCTAACAGTGGATTATATCCCCTAGCCTTCGTAATTGTAGAATCAGAATGTGTTGATTCATGGGTATGATTTCTGAGCCAGTTGCATATACTATGTCCAGTTGTTAGTACCTGACCTGATTTATGCATTATTTCTGATAGGCACTCTAGTTTGGTGCACGATTGTCATGAATTTTTTCCAAATGCAGCACATCAATCATCACTGTCGTCATCACCTACGTGAAAATATAAAAAAAGCAGTGCATCAAATGGGTGTTGGTGATGTTGAGTTTATATTCCATAAGATGTCATGGCCGGGAGCACTGATGACCCAATGGTATTTGATAGTTGCATGAAAGATATGATAAAGGTTAAGGCTGATATTCACTAGTGGTTAGTGGAGCGTAATCTTACATTGTGGGCTCTAACCTATGATATTGGATTTCATTATGAAATTATGACAACTAATGCATCAAAGTCATTTAATGGAGTTCTTAAAAGAGTTAGGGGTTTGCCCATTCAAGTGTTGGTTACATCAATATATTATAATGTTGTGGCATTGCACTTGCGAAGAATAGAGAAGCTAGAGAGTTCTAAAATTAATGCAATCAGTCTCTTTGCACCAAGAGTAAAATCAATGCTACGAAAGATCGAACAAGAAGCATGTAGGTTACCATAACCCATTCGAATAAATATGCGTGAGTTTCAAGAGGTAGACATGTCATCTTGGTCTTTCTGGACATACTCACTTGAAGGCGCAGTTCTAGCTCATTTGTACAGGGAGCTATCTGAAGCAACTAGACCAAAACGAGCAAACATAGCAGGGTGTATCCACTTATTACAGATATGGGCTTGGGAGCATCTACATGTTGGAAGACCTCAACTTCATGTCCCATTTCCTGTTCAACTTGATGGTTTGAGTGTTGGAATAAGGTAATCAGTTATATCTATGTTATGTAATTTTTATTCATATTAGTTATATTTTATGTTATGCAATAAGGTACATCCATTTATTGCTAAAATATTAATACATGTCAAATAGATGGAATGAGGAACAGCTTCGGGAGGTACTTGTAGGGAATGTTATAACATACATGGATGAGCTTGATGGCTTACTAGAGAGTCAAGTATGTTGAGTACAATTATATTTGTATATTTTATTCATATTAGTTCAATATTATAAAGATTAAATTGTTATATACATAATGATACAGGTAATATGGGAACCATATAATGTAGAGATTCGTGCTTAGGTTTCAGAGATATGCACTTCAAGTCAAGACACTTAGCTCTCTAGAGTTCCTTTGATTAGTTGGAAAATGGTTGAGTGACATCTCCGTGATCGAGTACTATGGTAGTTTGGATATTGCCCATCCACCGATATCATGCCAATGGATCCTAGTTTTTCATGGTTGATGGACGTGGTAAGGCATATAAAAATTGGGCATTATATCACCAGGCAAGTAATGCACTATGGGAGAGCAGAAGCGCATTCATTATTACAGGAGAGATTCCTGGGTTGGACTATGATTATAAAGTGAAGCAATACTTAGCATGGTTTCATTCTTGGGCTACACTATATATGCTAAAGGCCCCAGTGGATCCTCCGAGTACATGCTATCCAATATCACCAGCTGAACGTCATATGGTAAGTTTAAGTTATTTAAATTTAATTATATGATAAAAGGTTAGTTGAATTACTTATCCTTGCATCGATATTCTTTGTGAGCATGGAGAGGAGTTTGCAACCATACTTCGGAGGTATTGAGGCGACACCTTTGCAAGTGGACGTGAATATAGTTGGAGATATGTGTCAAATATTGCGAAAATAGATATACATTGACGATGCTCATTATTTTGACGAGACAGATACTTAGGTTTTTAGTCCACCCGTTATGACTATAGATCCATATGATGATGGGCCGTCCTCCTATCCTGATCTTGGTCCCTCTTAGATCCACTTCACGGTAGAGTTTGACAACACCTCCACACCTTAGTTCATACCTTCTTCCTTGGGAAAGCCCTGAATTACTCAATAGGATGTTAGTAATTAGGAGCATCGCCATCTACTTACCATACCACTATGAGCACCACAGCATTTTACTCCAGGCACTGATGCGATTCCACATCGACATAAAAGGAGGCATTAATTTTTTGTATCATGTATCTTTTAATTGCTTTAGTTAGATTTTGTTATTTATGTATCTTATTATGCTACTATGGAACTATTATTTTGTATCATGAAATTCATTAAGCTCTTGCATTTAGTCCTAAATGAAGTTTGATATAAATCTATAAATCATAATTTATAAGTTATGAGAAACATATATCAAAGGAGTAAAATTATTTTAAGTTATAAAAATATGCTATAAATCATAGATTTTTTTAAGATTTTGAAGTTATAAAATCAATAAATCATAAATTATATATATAATAAATACATCTTTCCTTCAAAAAATAGATCATATGATACTTAATCATAATCCTTCTCAGCCCTAAACTGATACATATCTAAAAACCTTAAAAATTCTAAAAATAACAAACAAGCGGCTACATTTTCATATTCATACTGACATATACATATACTATCATAAAACTTACAAAGATCATTGATAGAAGGATTAAATCACACATATAACAACCTTAAAATTAGGTTAATAGCAAAATATATGAAAGCTTTAGGGATAATAAAGTCCTTCAATGCTTTTGTAGTACGATGTGAGTGTGTGCTTGAAGTTGGGTTTGTGTTGGACAGCAACCAAATTTTTGTGTGAACCAAAGCTCGACGCATTGCCAATCCATAAC